CTCCTTGGGTTTCCGAGGCAGTATCACTACGGAAGTAGGATTGCCCAACCTTCCTTCCGAGGAGTGGCTAGTGGGTTTGAACCGTCAGCCGTCTGGTTAGCAGTCAAGTGCCGTAGCCACTATGCTACCAGAGCTCCAACTATATTAAGGTCTGTTTAATATCAAATATTTGCATATTTCATTTTAACATCTCTGAAATTCGGGAATGTCACATAGTCCATGGAATGTCACAGTTTAGTTGGCTGAGTTTTTTTCTTTAATGGTGAGTCTTTGGCATTTTAGATTTGATGAAATATGATAATTTAAAAAACCTAACTACTTGCCTTGTTGCAAAGATAATGTTTCCATTGTAGAAATATGAAATATATAGAAAAGAACTTGGTAGAAAATTGAAATTATTGATAATTCTAACACCCAGAGATGATGAATGTCAAATTTTTGGCATGTGTCTTTCTAATCTTAAAAAGACCCACTTTATAGAAATATGTACATTGTACAGTTTAATGTGTATACTGATAAGTTTGGACAGATGTATACAAATCCCTGTAATCACCTGTATGATCATTATATAAACCATTCCTGTCACCCCAAAAAGTTCCCTCATACCCCATTGCTTTCTATAGTCTGTACATAACACGCATGTTTTTGTCCCTCTTTTCTTAAAATATAAAATTGGGCAATGCTGAACATGTTTTGTATTCATTTTTTCATTTTATATATGAAGAATATTTTCCCATGTCATTAAACATTCTCCTAAGGAGCCCCTCCCCCCAAAGCTGCAGAGTCATTCATAAGACAAATGTTGAATGCCTCCTGTGTGTTTAGTGATGAATGGAATATAAGACTTTGTACTTGATCCAGGAGTTTGTAGCTTGGGAGAAACAATAGGCAATTTCATTACAGTATGGGAGTATTTGGATTGTACATTCATAGAAAGGCCCCTAATCCAGTCTTTGGGAGAAGGTTTTGGGCTCATAGTTAAGAGCTCTAAGGGATAAAGTGGAATTAATCAGGCAAATAAAAATGAGAAAGGGCTTTCCCTACACTGTATAGGGGTAAGTTTGTTCTAAGGCATAGAGGAGAAGAAAACCTAGCTTGGGGAACCTAGCTAGGGGAACTGCAATACTGAAGGACAGAATTTTGGTGATAAATGAAGAGACTGTTAGTATACCATCATTTGTTTAACTAGTCCCTCATTCTGGACATTTAGATTTCCATTTGTCTTGTCTGTCCAGCACTGGTCAAAATAGTATAGAGCAAAAGTCAAAAAACCTGGTTCTAATTTCTTTATTTATACAAAAAAAGTTTCATTTTTTGGAAAGGAAATAGGGTAGTAAAAAACAAACTAAATTATAAATGTCTTCTTTGACTTGCCAGGATTTCAAACGTTCATTTAAAAACCATTTTTTAGTGGTTATAATATGTCTGGTGGTGTGGGTGGTGCTGCTTGTAGATTAATAGAATGGAGAATAAGCAACATGCTTCATATATATGTATGTGAATAATTATTTCCTTAGATTTTGAAAGACTGTATCATGATACTAATCTTTAATATTATCAAGACTGATATAATATGCACTCTAGTTTATGTATCATTCAATTTCAGCCTTATAAATTAACCTTTATGGTGAAAAATAAAATCTGATTAACTCTTGAACATGTTTTCTATGACTTATTACAGGCTTCTTCTCTTACATTTTTAAAGACGTCATGGTTGTTGTTGTTATGTGCCGTCAAGTCGGACCCGACTGATAGAGACCCCTCCTTGGGTTTCCGAGGCAGTATCGCTATGGAAGTAGATTGCCCAACCTTTCTTCCGAGGAGTGGCTGGTGGGTTTGACCTGCCAGCCTTCTGGTTAGCAGTCAAGTGCCTTAGGCACTGTGCTACCAGAGCTCCTGTCATGGTTGTAGAAATGAGCTGTTTTTATTTTGTAGGATACTTCTGATCAGATTAATTAATGATTTCTGTTTTTAATATTTTTCAGGTCAGTGTTGCTGAATATGAGACGATCTGTAGCACCAAGTCAGTTGCAGGGGAATCCCTTGAAAAAACCAAAATTTATACCACCAGGAAGAAGTAATCCAAGTCCTAATGAAGAAATTACAAAACTGAATCCAGAAACAGAATTATTTGAGGTAAACAAACAAAAAAAGATCCTTATCCATTGCTAGTGAGAATGCAAAATGGTGCAGCTGTTGTGGAAAACAGTGTGGCAGTTCCTCAAAAAACTAACAATAGAGCTAGTCTAACCAAAAACCAAACCAAACCCACTGCCATCAAATTGATTCCAACTCATAGCAACCTCCATTGGGTTTCCGAGGCAGTAAATCTTTATGGCAATAGGTTGCCCCGTCTTCCTTCTTTGGAGTGGCTGGTGGGGTGAACCGCCAACCTTCTGGTTAGCAGTCAGGTGCCTTAGACACTATGCCACCAGAACTGCTTGGTTTTTTAGAACTACTCTGTGGCCCATTAGTTCCATTCCTTGGTATGTACCTGAAAGATTTGAAAGCAGAGATTTAAAAAGTACGCCACTTTCGTAATATTCAAAAGGTGGAAACAATCTAAATGCCCATCAACAGGTAAATGGATAAACAAAATGTGGTACATACATACAATGGAATACTACTCAGCCAGTATGAGAAATAAACTCTTGACACATGCCACAGTATGGATGGAGCTTGAAGACATCATATTGAGCAAAATAAGCCTGTCATAAAACAACAAATATTGTATGACTTCACTTACATAAAAAGACAAGAAATGACAAATGTATAGAAACCAAAGTTTATTAGTGGTTACCAGGGACAGAAAGGAGGAGAAAAAGAGGGGATTAATAGTGATGGGGAAATCGCATTGATTAAGGGTAAGGTAGCACAACCTATTATTATAATTGCTGTCAATAAATTATATAGCTGTAAAAAGTTGAATTAGGAAAAGTTTATGATAGATGTATTTACAAGAATGACAAGTGAAAAAAAAAGATTAGCTGCCGAGGCTGCTTATGTACAGCCAAACACCTCATGGGATTTGGTTTCTTGGTTTGCAGTTTAGACTCATGGTTTCATGGGACATTCTCAGTTAATTGGCCTAATAAAATGTTTAGTGTTTCTGTTCTACTTCCTAGTTTGTTGCCTAGTACCTCAGATCTCTAAAAGTTCGTAAGTGGCCACTGAAATCTTCTTAAAACCAAATAATAGTTTAGCTGAACTTGTGGGGAAAAAAAAAAAGATCTACCTTGAGCATTGTGGTCTTTTAAGAATTATCTGTATGGGATCAAATTGACAACAGCCACTTGAAAGATTAGATAAGAACTTTAGGAAACAGTTTATGTTACAATGAGAGAGGAACAACTCAAAAGGAAGCAATGTAATCATTGTCACTAAATTGTACATGTAGAAACTATTGAACTGGTGTATGTTTTGCTGTGTATGTTCTCAACAACAGTAAAATTAAAAATTTGGAAAAAATAAAGAAGTATTATATAGAGAAGTAAGTATTTAAGAAAATATTATTGAGTTACAATACTTATTGCCTATGTTGTTGTTGTTGTTTTGTGCCGTCGAGTTGGCCCTGACTCATGACCCCCTCCTTGGGTTTCCAAGGTGGTATCACTATGGAAGTAGATTGCCCAACCTTCCTTCCGAGGAGTGGCTGGTGGTTTGAACCTCCA